AAGACGCGCGTGCCCCGCTTGGTAAGGTGGATCCCATCGCTCCCCATCAGCTGTTGATCTTCAAACAGGGTCCCATGGTCATAGAAACCAAAGCCCTGTTGCCAACACCAGCGGTGCAGCCAGCTGTTAACTTGGAAAACTTGTCTACTCCTACTCCTGTCCTTTCCCCTCACAGGCAAGATTGAGGAGAAAACAACCTGGGCTCCCAGACCCTTCACCACCAGAGGAACCGATGACAAAGTCATCGTCATTTACTTCCGGCCCAGTCACTCACTTTCTCATGCTTCTTTGGTTTATTCTTTTACTATAAAAACAATAAACACACACACAAAATAAAACTAATTTCCTAATAAAAAACTGAGCATGCAGCCAAAATGTAATTTAGGCATATGTGTGCCCACTATCAAAAACTGATCATATATATCTGAAAATACTTTTAACCCAATCTTTGAACAAGCTCTATTGGAAACATTATAGTTAATAATATTATGGAGTCATCAACCAATCATTGTTGCCTACATTTGAAGGGTTAGAGGTATAATTTTCTTTTAAATACAAATGCTTCCGTTTATTACACACTACTTGTCACCTTTAAGAACACAATTGATCCTCATTGAAATCCATGGGTGGAAAGACATCACTCCATTAAGGTATGTCCCCTCTGATTCTGTTTGTTTTTCCCAGTGAGCCACAGGTGATCTACTCACTTTCATTTTCTCCTTCTTCCAACCACATTTGTTCTTCCCTTTCCAATACTTCCCTTCTGTTTCACAGATGTTCACTAATTTTGTCTACAATTAACTGATTAATACATCTGGAAAAGTAGCAGCACGTCAGAGGAAAGTATCCCTCCCAAACATTTTTTTTTGAAAGACGGTTTCTTAAATACAAATGCAAAGAAAAGTCTTTTCATGCTGAAGCTTGCCTATTTTTCCAAATGTATCAATTACATGACAAAATAAATCGTCTTTCTGCCCAAATGTCACCTCACCTTCAATCATCATTTTTCTCATTGTAGTGGGGTCCTCCGATAGTGAGTAACTGAGATAGCCAGAAAGCAAAGCTGAGAACAAAGCTACTTAATTTGTGGAGTTAAAAGACTTGAGAATTTCTATCCTGCTATTTTCTTTCATACCTACCTGCCATTTTTCTAGTTGAGAGATTAATACTGTGACTGTGATGAAAAGCAGGACTGTAAATTCTCAGGGACTTTTAGCTATTCAGCTAAGATGCAAGGAGGAAGCTTTTTCAGACTCTACTGGAAATCTCTGATGACCTAGCTAGAGGGGGAAAAAAAAAGGCTGTTTATGATGTTAATAATGTACAAAATATCAACAACATCATGAGGAGGTAAATTTCCTATTTCTTTGGTCAGTCTCCTGGGATGAGATCTGTGATTCACTGGCAAGCTGCAGAACAAAGAAGTCAAGTATTCCCTAAATAGAATTCATAGGTGAGTTGCCTGAAAAACAGAAGACAAAAAATGAAGCAGCCCACAGGGACTAGATTATAAAAACAAAAACAAAACACAAATACCTCCATCTCAGTGCACATAATTTTGGCTGGAATTTCTACAGGTGATAAAGGTGTTAGTCTTGCAACCCCAGCTGCACTTGAATAGCATTGGGCTAAATTATTTCTTAAATCTCTTTAAAAATATAAGAATTTAGCAAACCAAGTCTGTGTTCCATTCATTCTGATCTATTAGGTGTTGCTGGGTTTTGGGTTTGGGGTTGCGGGGGGGTGTTGTATTCGACAGGTAAGGAGGAGTTTCTGGCCTTTCTAGTCAAGGAACATCACAAATTTGCTTCGTAATCTTCATTTTGTCTCCTATAGGAAAGTTTCCACAACCATTTACAGAAGTAGCATATTCAGTTACAATTAGAGTAGTTCAGATGTAGTGGTGTAAATCACACAGGAAATTTTGAATCATTTCTAAGAAGGTGGAGTCTTACATATCCTGCATAAAGTTCCAGGCAGATCAGCTCCAAATTAGTCTCAGGTTTGAAAACCCAGCACATTCAGCACAGTTTCATAAACACACAGAAAAATATAGGTTTGAAGAAACCTCTATAGAAGCTGATGCATCCCTCACTCAAGCAGGAACCATTTGATATATAGCTCACGGTCTTGTCCAATGAAGTTTTGAATAACTCCAAGGATATTCAAACAAACTCTCTTTGTAAACTCTTCCAATGTTTTGATTACTGTCAGGTAGAAAAAGATTTCCCTAGTGTCTAATTAGAATTTCACATGTTCCAACTCGTGCCTATCACCTTGCATATCTTAACACAATGCTTCTCTAAGAAACATCTGGTTTCATCTTTTCTGCACCCCCACAGTAAGTAGCTGAAGACAACAAAAAGATATCCCCTGATTCTTCTCTTCCTAGTGCTTCCACATTGTTAGATAGCCCATTTTATTACCTATGAACTCTTTAAGAATCTTAAAAAATTATTGAAATGTTTGAAATGCCGCAGATACAAAGAGGAGCCACATTGGAATAGCGTATTGGACTAGCTCCTTTGGTCATGGGCTCCAAGATATTCTTGACCCAGACAACAATGAGGGGAGGGAATTTTTAGGTAGAAGAGCATCTCTGGGCACCTGGAAAGATGTGTCAGGGCATCTTCATGCTAATTAGGCTAAGAACAGTACTAAAAAGCGACACTCAAAAGAAAAAGAATAACACACAAAACAAAGCAGAAAAGAGTCCTCATTATTGCCCATGAGGATACCTAAATAACCTCAAAGCAGCATGAATCAGACAACTGTTAAACAGTGCTGACAATCAGGTAAAAGTCCTTTTGTCAAAGCAGTTAGGGCATATATAAAGTCAACACAGACAGGAGTGTAATGTATGTTGCAACAGAACACAAGTTTATTCAAGCACAAAGTATTACCTTAGATTCAGAAGTAAAGGGGGAAAATAATTTGTAAGAGGGAATGGACTAAAGGCAAAATGTCATGTGGTATAGTTTATTCTGCCCTTAAATTTTCACAGAATCGCAGAATGGTTGAGGTTGGAAGGGACCTCTAGAGATCAGCTAGTCCAACCTCCCTGCTCAAGCAGGATCACCCAGAGCACGTTGCTCAGGACTCAATCCCAACAGCTTTTGAATATCTCCAGCGAAGGAGACTCCACTACCTCTCTGGGCAACCTGTGCCAATGCTCTGTCACCCTCACAGTGAAGAAGTTTTTTCTCAGGTTCAGATGGAACTTCCTGTGGTTCAGTTTCTGCCCGTTGCCTCTTGTCCTGTTGCTGGGCACCACGGAGAAGAGGCTGGCCTCATCCTCTTGACACTCCCCCTGCAGATACTTGTACACGTTGATGAGATCCCCTCTCAATCTTCTCTTCTCCAGGCTGAACAGGCCCAGCTCTCGCAGTCTTTCTTCATAGGAGAGGTGCTCCAGCCCTCTAATCATCTTGGTAGCCC